CGATTTCCGGTTTTGTTTTGTAGAAAGCATGGAAACACCAAAGATGCTTTAATATGTTGTGTGTTTTAATAGACCACAGAGTAGCATTATAACAGAACTTTCAAATGTATCTAGTATGATAAAACAGCACTGCTTTTTTTTCCCCACATAAGCACGACCGGAAGGAGCGGAAGCAGTCGATTGTGGCATAATAAAAGCTCCGCTGCTTTCGAGCCGTGTGTCACGCTCGTTCAGCGGCCTCGTTTCGCGTCAACGGCTTTCAACCTCACCCTGGCTTCATTCTACTACGTTAATAAATCATTAGCTCATCCATGAACATGATTTCTGCCCGAGTTCCGTCGGATTGCATCGGCTGTGGGGATGAAGACGACAACTCCCATGATTCCACACTCAGTCACGGCGTCATCAAACTACGCCTTTGTCTATTTGTTTATTTTGAATATGCGCCCTCTAGCGGCGAAAATTACATATTGTGCCTTTAACACATCTATTTAGATTACTAGAGTACTTTTATTTCCATACTATTTCAACATTTAACAATATTTAATAATAGACCACATTTCCAAAAGTGATGTTTGCCTTAAAACTTTCTAAACATAAAGAGACAAAAAGACAGTGGTAATCAAACAATTTATTGAATCTTCCAGTAGAGACTTGATATTCATGGAATAAAACTGCTTTCTGATAGTACAAGTAAGCAAGAACAGCACAAAAAAGGGACGGAGAGGAGAAGCCACTTATGAAAGTGCAGATACTGTATGAACGAACAACGTTATATATTTTCTTCAAAAAAATACAAAAAATGTTTACATTTTGATAATGGATGGGATTTCACTATGAATAAAAAAAAAAAACTGAGAGCAAGTTAATCAAAAATTAACTACTTTTTTACAAAACATCACTAGTGCCATTTAGAACTTAGTCAACAAAAAAGGTAATTATTTTACTCTAAAAAATGACGAAAACGCATAGGCATCATGTATATTTCTTTCTCTTGCTTTTTAAAAGGTGTTTTATGAAAACAGATTATTCATGGCATTTCAGAAAAGAAAAAAAAACAGAGAAAGGAGGACGTTCTTCTGTGCAGCACAGTGGTGTAGTGCACAATATATGGACAAAGTAAACGATGCCTGCCGCTGCTCTCATAGACATCAAAGACTTACAATCCTGGGGATCAAACCACACTTGCAAAAAAACAGACTGCACAGCACTTTCTCTACTAATAAGTACATTTACACACCCATTTTTGAAATCAGTCGAACACAACTGCAATAGAAGTAGCGCAACATACGCATGAGTTTACTCATGCATCCCTACCCACTACTAACATCCCCTAACTCCCCATATGTTTATCCCATTCAAAAGTTTTGTGTGTTCAAATATATGTATTTTTCATTCTACAATAGACATTTTTGTCAATTTTTACTACATTTTTTCTTCTTGTCGGCTGTGAGACATTTCGCATTATTACACGGCTCTGTGGAATACTTGATTCTGATTGGTCAGTCGCGCCATCCAGCGGTATGTTATTCCCAGATAACAACTGCCAAATTGAATAACACACCGCTCATCCGGATACTATGAGTTAGAGCCTGACCGATATATCGTTTTGCCTATATTATCGGCCGATATGAGCCTGTCGCCGATATATCGGTATCGGTGAATATGCCGCCGATATGAATACTTTGTGCATCGCGCTCCCCTATATTATATTATGTCACACTTCTCTAGTAAGTTTTGTCTGTGTGGGAAGACAGTAGCGCAAATCCGTGAATGAATGTTCTAAAGTGAAATAAACTTCAACGGAATAAAGTTGAATGGAATTGAATTGAAATAAAGTTGAATAAACTTCAACTTTACTGTTCAGTGCCTGATGTCAGACTCATTACATTGACTGTCAGTCTTTATTCACCTGTTTCTCGTTGTTTCTCATTAAAATTAATTAAAGTAAATAGTGTAAATTACATCGCTAATGTCATAGAATAGCACATTGTAACGCAGTGTTACAACGTGCCCCATCTGCGCAACTGGAATTTAAAACTGGTTAGTGTCTTCTGCTAGTAATCAAAGCATTAAAAAAAACTATCTGAACTGATAAATAACAGATTGGAGATTAAAATAATAGCAGATTTGTCTCATTTTAAATGAATAATAAAAACTGAGATAAAAAATTTACTTAAGCCAGAATTTAAATGTTACTATGGTAAAATAAATATTCAAACCACGTGTGTTACAACTAACACCCCGTTACTTTGTGCATCGCACTCATCGCAAGTTTATTGTTAAATTGTTAAATGCCCTTACATATCTCTGTCACCATTATAAGTGTTTGATCACCACATTTGAGTGATCATTGCAAAAAATGTGTTTATGTATATATATTCTGTTTATGTATATACTGTATTCTATATATAGTACCAGTCAAATGTTTGGACACACGAATGGGAAAGTGTCCAAACTTTTGACTTGTACTGTACTGTAATATACACAAAGAATATCGGCCGATATATCGGTATCGGCCCTTTTTTACCCCCTAATATCGGTATCGTCCCCAAAAAACCCATATCGGTCGGGCTCTACTATGAGTTATCTTGACCGGTACTACTTATATGCTTAACGAGTCACTCCGCTATCTTTGACTGTCTGGCACCATCTTGTGACTGAAAACACTTAACCACCGCGTGTTACAATGGAAGACTTCAGCATTAATTTCAACATATATGGTAAAAACTAATCTTTTCAGCAATGGATAGAATCAGATGACTCCACTGACTCCCCAGTTAAAACAAAAAACACAAAGAGCTTACTGAATCTGAACTTGGCAAAATAGAAGACGACTGCTACGAAACGAACACCAAAAGAACCACATTATGGGCAATTAAACTTCTCAAAGATTGGCTAATTGAGAAAAAATTGTCGGCAGATTATGATACATATGAGGCAGAAGAGCTCAATAAGGTGCTACGCTCCTTTTATGCATCTGTTCAGAATTCAAAAGGCCAGACTTATTCGGTAGCCAGCTATATGGCTATTAGGGCTGGTGTCGCCACATATTTTAAAAAGTTTGACATCCTGAAGAGTGCTACCTTTTAACTCAAGCAATGCCGTTTTTAAATCTACCATTAAACAAATTCGCAAAATTGGTAAGGACATTAGTCAGCATCATCCTCCGATCTCAACAGCAGACATGGACCTAATAAGAAATTCGGACGTGCTGTCACCAGACACAGCCACTGGTCTCGTTCGGAAAGTTTGGTTTGATGTACAACTACATCTGGCAAGACGAGGCAGAGAAGGAAACCGACACCTAAGAAGGGACTCGTTTATCATAAAATGCGACGACAACGGTACCGAGTACATTACTCTGTCCCATAATGCGGAGACCAAGAACCATAAAGACCCGAGATACCCATGTAAAGAAAATTACAGGGGTTTCATCTTTGCTGAACCCAACAACCCCCAGTGTCCCGTTGCTAGTTTCAAAAATACCTGAGCCTCTGTCCGCCGGACGCAGACGCTTTTTATCTCCATCCACTACGACAAAACCAGGATTTACTGAATGAAAGAACAGTGTGGTACTCTAGGGAGCCAATGGGACATAACTACCTTGCCATGATGATGTCCACAATTAGCAAAGCAGCTGGACTCTCACGCCAATACACAAACCACAGTTTGAGAAGCATGGCTGTGCAACTCCTCTCACGCGCCGGACTGGAAACCAGAGAGATTATGACCGTGACAGGACATAGATGTGAGGGTAGTCTAAAGAGCTATTGGACTCCGTCCACCGCAGACAGAGAGAAATGGAGCAGGATTCTCTCATCAAATCCTGACAGCAGCATCGCAGGCAGTAAGTGTCCACTTAGTATAGCCTATAGGCTAACCTTAGCATGAAATTCAACCGCAAACATAGTTTATAATAATTCTTATAATTGTGTTTTAGGTGCAACCAAAGAAAAGTCCACAGAAGGAGATGCTTTAGCTGACCAAACTAAAAACATCAACTTCAACATCCCCACCAGCGTCGCATTCACAACGGGTCAGTTCACAATAAATGGAAATGTGCAGTTTAATACTTACAAATAAAGTAACATTATATATAAATATGCCTAATTAATAACACATAAGAGATTATATCTTTTACAAATGATTAAATCAAACTGCATCTTTTTTTTCTTTTCTTTTTTTTGAACTTCGTGTCTTGCTTAAGCCACTTTGAAGAGCTGTTTTTCTTTCCTGAAAAGTTTGAATTTGTCAACTTACAAATGAGCTAATAAAATATTTTAATATTTCGTGTCCAACTGTTTATTGTAATTAGTGATACGACTGTACATTATGCCTTAAATGTCCGTATTGTCTGACTTCAAAAGGCTCAAAGCAGTTTGTTAGGAACTATTTTTCTTCGCGGATAATAAAATATTTCAACTCAAGTCAATATTTCGTGTCTAATTTACTTGAGACAAGTAGCCGTGTAATAAGCGGGATAATGCTCCGCTTCGCGTCGGGGTCCTGATCACCCTGTCGGGGTTTATTCTGAGATAACAACCGGCTGGATGTACATAATCCCTTACTTAATAGCCTCGTTATCCTTCTCACAGCTTCATGCCATTCAGTTCATTTAAAGCATTATATTTCTGCACGAGTTTTCATACTTTCTTGTCTACCAGACATGTTCACGCTTCACTATTCTGTACAACACTAGTCTCTAAACTACGATGCAGACCTTTTTTTGCCAATGAAATACTGATTTGTAAACTGCAAAATGTAGAAGAAATGCAAAAGAAAAAGAAAGAAAACAAACAAATTGTCTTAAAAACCCAACTTCTCTCACAAACAAGACCAAAGGAGGATACTTGTCACAAGTATGATGGCCTCATCATTTAACATGCTTGGTCACACAAAGTTGTCAAGTATCTTCCAGATTCTCACGGGCTGAGAACTAAGGACTCTTCAGCCAAAATGTATGCCCCCAAACAAACTGCCTTCAAGTAGAATACAAACCCCACCCCTCCTCCCAACCCCCACCCCTCCCTTCAACCAATCAGCTTCTGCACGGGAACCCAGACATCTGCAGTTGCCTTATGGTCAGCTTTGTCTAGGACACGGAGGAAATGGGGTTGTGAGGAGAGCCCATCTGGGTTAGGACTCTATCCAGCCACTGCAGGGGCCCGTGAAGATGAATCTCAATCCAGCATGGGGTGCTTGTCACATCCTGTCGATGATACTCTGCACCCCAACCCTGGAACACAAGTACAAATATGTCAACTGTGTTCTCCTGAAACGGTGTGCTAAATAAAGGGAAGATTAACTCAAAAACGGGAATTCTCATTTAATTCTTATATTTACTCACCCACATAGCCAACTTGAAACGACATGCACAACTGCCAAAATTTCTCTATATTGTAATCATTATGATCATACTTGTAATAATCGCTTTAATGAGCTTCTGGCTAAAATTAATCCATGTTAGCTAACTGTATGATTCTATTATCTTGAACTGTTAATTTGTGAAATGAACATTACTTGGACACTAGGCATGGGCCGATTACTGGTTTCAAGGTATACCGCGATTTGAAAATGGCACGGTTTCAAAACCGCTAATATTTTCCGTTATACCGTTCCTGCGATATGCACTGTTTTTCATGTCTCCTCAAAGACTGAAAGTGTAGGAATCTCTCAGGTTGAGTGCAGAGTAGAGAGTAACACGACCCTCCTCCTCCTGTTGGTGCGAGCAAGCGGTCAGTCACGTGTGTGTAGGATGGCTGAACTTAAAGGTGCAATGTGTAAAATTTACATCAATCTATTGACAGAAATGCAATATAATATACATAACTATATTTTCAGAGGTGTATAAAGACCTTACTTAATGAACCGTTATGTTTTTATTACCTTATATTGAGCAATTTATATCTACATACACCGCGGGTCCCCTTACATGGAAGTCGCCACCATGTTTCTACAGTAGCCCTAAATGGACAAACTACTCTACACAGCGCGTTTCGTCCCTTTGTT